CCTATAATTTATTTTAATACGCCAGTTATATATTTATACATTTATTTCCAATAATGATAGGTTTGGTCCTCCATACTCTCTAGGTTTTAAAAGCTACACAACACAACACCAAACACAAACACAGACACACGTGTATAGTCATTTGGATTGATTATTAACTCGGCTCGAGTGATTTACCTTGACAGCAGGAAATGTGACGGCAGAGGAGGCGTAGGAGCCGATCATCAGAGACATGATGGTGGAGCTCAAAGGGCCAAACATGTTGGGAAGCTGCAAACAAACACAAACATTTATTAAACTGAACAAGTAATATTAGTATTATTACTAATATTACTAACTGGAACTAACTGCACTGAGTCTGTGGTTTTTATATTGAACTGATGCGCTACATTTGACCAGCAGGGGGCAGTAAGCTCCTTCATGAAACAGACTTTTTACAGGCAGATCAYAGTGTTCTCATGTCTCGCAGCACAGACTGATTAAAACATTTATTTCCACGTCATGAGTGGTAAAAATCACAGTCGTGTTCTGCCCCATTGTTTAAACACAAACTAAGCTTCACTCAGACACAACTTGTCCAGAGTTGGGATTAAAAAGCCGATCTAGTCTGAAAGCTCTCGATGAACTTCAGAGTCCCTTCAACCTGAGCGACACATGACGGCGGCAGGCACTGAACGCATCACACGTCAGRTTTCCAGCGGTAAGAAGCTTAAGACATGTAAGAACAGTAAGAACGATCCATTGTTGGTGGCAGGAACTAAATGTCCTTTGATTGAAGTTTCTAACGGAAAAATCACATGTGAGGGATTTTCAATGTAAACCACGAGAAGCAAACGTCACCTGATCCCTGCTGGGTCAGGATTTGGAGTCAGACTTGATCATTTAAGATATGAACATTCAAGAGCAAAAAGTTTTTATGTCAACCACAAAAACTATCTGGTAATAAAAAGGATATGGAGGACAATAAAATAAAAAGTAAAAGCCTCAGTAAAGTTTGGAGAAAAGTATTAATCCTCTGATCCTCTGTTAATATAAACTCTGATTAAAGCAGCTTACTTTGTAACATGGATCTAATTTCTTCCAATAACTCATTAAAACAGTGCAGTCTGTTAGCAAAATATCTCATGAATTAATAGAAAATAATGATGTGGTAGTAGCTGACAGTCATTCCCGACAMGTTTCGAGAGCTGAAGGTCAGTCTGCAACTGTCAGGAACTTGTTGGTGACTAAAAAATTCACAAAATCCCGTTTGTGACCAAAAACCTGTCTGTAGCGTCTGTTTTAAGAACATTTTTATGTTTTAACGGATGATGATAACGTGGATCACGAGTCCATCTACTGACTGTTCAGAGTTCGTCAGACCTGCCAGACCAGGGTTTTCCAGGAACACTAGAGTCCAACATCAAGATTCCTCTGGCTTTCTCAGGCCTCAGAATCGGATGGATGCAAAGAGGAGTAGGTAGGTGTTAAGTGTGCTTTTTCTGTGAATGTTGACATTTTTTCCTGTGAATGTGTGTGATTCCTCAGTGTGTGTGCGTGTCCTCGGTCGGCGTGGCAGGCTACAGTGTGTGTCTGTGCTGCGGTGGGAAGTGTGAGGTCACTTTTGAGAACACACACCAAATGGTTCACAGGCAAATGTGGAAAAAAAAAAACAGTTTTCCTGAAGATTTTAAAAAGAGAGCCTGACTGTCTGAGTGAGACGAGGTGGGGGTGGGTGTCAGAACAGCGGTTTTCATTCATGGCTTCTGAGAATCCTGAGATCTTCAGGACCATCAGATCTGTGAAAGTGTTTCTTCTGGAGGCTCTTCAGAGCACATGGAGAGGCAGGGYCAGACCTTTGAGACATCAGTATGGTCTTATTTGGCTTTCAGGAGTCATCTCATTGCTAGATTTTTTCTGACCAAGTAAAAATACTTCATAGGACAGATTTAAGCACTTTGTCATTGGTCAGTTCTCTTTGTAAAGGAAGCTGCGGTTTCACTGGACATCCTCTTCCAAACTCCTAGCTAAAAGCCTGCTGTCAGTGCTTAAACATTTGTTTTATTAGGAACACAACAGTCTGCTGCTTCATCTWCAATTATCTCCAAACTTCATTAGTTTCAAAGTGGAAGGAGAAATGACATAACTAATYGTAAAAGTGGTACCTGTTCCAAGTATCGGGGTATTTTTATGAGTACAACATAWAGTATTTGAAGCTGCTTTGGGAATTATATCAATACTATTATTACTGAGACACCACTAACTAAAAATATAGCTTCGCTTATGGTAAACCCCTAAATATATAATAAAAAATGACAGAAGTTAAAAATAAACAAGTCAAAATTAGCAGAAGCTAACACTAACAGCTAATCGCTAACCGCTAAGCTGACTGTCACTCGATCTGCGTCTCCTTCCAGCTGAAGACTGGTGGGACTGACACAAACCTTGATGCTAGGTAGCTGTTAGCGGACTTAAAATTTACAAAATCTAATTYAGCACAAGCTAATTGGTCTGCTGACGGTTTTCAGAGCTGGTGACAAAACCAATCCTTTATTAGCTAATTAGCTAAGTGCTTRTTAAAATGCTTATTTTTAGATTCAGTCTTCTTATTGACTTGTTAACACTAATTAGGTACAAAATGCTCATCCAGCTCTTTATTTTTGATACCACTCGCTTTTACAGCCTTTTCTTGCCTCTGTTAAAAGTAGCTTTAAATTGTCTAATTTCTCAGACTGAACATTTTTAACTGTTCCATAGCGAATAAAATATGGAGTTATAAGATTTGCAAGATGACACATTCTGTTATTTACATTTAAGTTAACATAACGTCCCAGTTTTTTAAAAATATATTTGTACGTAATTCCCACGGGACCCCACAGTAAATGTCCTGCATACCAACATGGTTAACCGAGGTCAGCGAGTGACACACACATGTGGAGCTTTAGTGGTTCTTTTGTCATTATTAATCAGTTCAAATTCCACTCCTGCTGCGCCCGCTCACTCGGGCGTCTTAAGAATTTGGCATTGACTTTAATTAGAGACTTTAATCATTGAGAAAATACAACAAATGGCAGATTAATGAGCTCAGAGACCTGTTTCAGCTTTACACCCCCCATGCGGAAGAAAGGCTGATTACATAAACGGAAAAAACCACAACACACGGCTGGGTTTAGAAAGACGGTTTGCTCCTTTTATTTTAKTTTTTGGTTCTTCTTGTTCCTGTGTTATTTTCTAATGTTAAACAGGATAACACAGAAACAACAGAGCCACACTTCCTGCAACCAGTTAAAAAGGCACATATATATGTATATATCAGCCTTAAAATCCTGCTGATGTGAGGTTGAAACAATGAAAAAACTTGAATGTTTTCAGTGGGCAGACCCTGAAATTTATTAAGGCTGATATATATATAT